TTCCAGTAACTGCAAGACCTACTCAGGATAGCATCAGGAATCACACAGCTTCCTTATTGCTGGACCAATTATATAAAGACTCCCTGGCTGTGCTGGAAGCCCAGAGAGGGTGTTTCACTGTTTCCTCTGCCAAGTCTTTAGGGAAGTGTAAATGAGTTTATTTAAAAGACTGTGAAATAAAGATATACTGAAAACATGAAAATTATGAAGAGAAGTTATCTAAAATATACTGTGCATCTCATTTCATCCTGGGCATGAAAGCCCACATTTTATTTATATGATCTTGTTTAACACTCAGTCTCCTAGGAAGGAGAACATAGGGCTCTGAGAGATTAAGATTGGCTCAAATTAATGCAAATACTAAGTATCAGAACTGGAAACCAGAGCCAGCCTATTTGACTCCCAGACATTGCCTTTCCCTGCCCCACCACCTTGCTATCTCCTACTCTAGCCTGTGATGGTGGAAAGAATAAATCACCATGATCAGCTCCAAAGGTTGGGGTGGGTAATGGTGCCCCAACAGTAAATAAATTTATGACTTTTATTTGGCACTGAAACTATAAAAAAGCAGACGGTGGGAAGCCTCTCTTGTGTATAGCACTTGGAGATTAAGTATGGACCTCAGCACTTTAAAGAGGGGCATTCACTGCCCTAAGAATTGGGGAGTAGCAACTGGCTCTACCTCTCCCACCCCAACTCTGAGTGCTTCAGTGAAGGCTCAGCAGGACATCTTCCTGATTGCCTTCAACCCTTTGATATTTATTGATGGGCCATGGGTCCTTTGGGTCTCCCCTTCCACAATTTCTTCTTGACTCATAATATTCACTGGGCTTAAAGACTGTCTCCTCCAGGAAACAGATCCTGGCTAATGCTTCTTTCTAGCTTGCTTTGCATCTCCATTAATGGTCCATTATATTACCATGGATTCTATTTGCCTGCTAATTGTCCAGCATGAGTTCTGATCACTTCCATAATGCTTATTCACTCATCAAATATTTACTATCAGCTAGGTTTCAAGAACAAACCATGCTCCATGTTTTTTAAGGGTTAGTAATTACAGAATTGTTCTCATGGAGTTTACAGGAGAGAGAGAGATTACCCAAATAATTTCAGAAATATAGAAATACAAGTGGGAGATAAGTGCTTTGAATGAAAAAAAAAGTAGTGTCATAAAAGTAGGTTATAGAGGAAACTAATTCGGTTTGAGTGTATCAGGAAGGGATGTACCAACGAAGTGAACTCTGAGCTGTGATCTAGCGGGTGGATAATAGTCAAGGGGCACAGTGTGTAGGTGTGTGTTTGATGGAGGAGATGGTGGGTAGATACAAAGATGCAGGAAGGTAGAAGACTGAGGAAGAAAAGTTCCTTGGCAGGTGGTAGTGTTCTCCTTTTGAGGAAGGGAAAAAAGAAAAGGAGAGAGTGAATGAGACTGAGAGGTCACCAGGGATGAGACTGGAGGTCTGGAAGTCCTGTAATATTCTGTTTTTATGCAGAGGCAATGGGAGGATTTCGGAGAGTTTGGAACAAATACATGAGTGTCCTCAGTAGCCCTTGTTACCTCCTTTTTACAGGTCAGGAAGCAGAGGCTCAAATGACTTGTGTAACTTTTCCAGGTCTCATGGGTGACTACACAGCTGAGCAGGTGGCTTAACTAGGACTTCAACCCAGGCCAAGTGATGCCAACTCTTTCTATCTTCAAACATTCAATGAACCCATGCTGCCATATTCTCTGCCCCTACTGCCCCAAGTTCTTAATTCTGAAAAGAAAGCATCTACTTTTTTGGAGAATTAAACAGAACTGGTTGGAATTAACATTTTTAATGTTAATTAAAAGACAGAGGTTGTTATCTGAATCACCCCCATCCTGTAAATGTTCAGAAAGTCAGATCATATGCCCTATTGTTTGAAAGAGGAGGGGTAGTAGTCTGAATCCACTCTGTTCAAAGTTTAGATGAAACTTTAAACTGCATACTATTGCCTAAGAGTACTTTCCACCCCAAAGGCATGGTGGGTGGTTGGGGGAAGGCAAGACTGGAAACAGAGACCAGCTAGAATCTTCTACAGTAATCCAGGTGAGAGGTGAAGGTGGGGATGGATACTGTAAATTTTAGGCAGGGGTCAAGTAGAAATGGCACATCAAATACATTGGGAACATGAGGTATAGAGATGCCTCCCTGACTGGATTGTGACCTGGGCACATGGTGACATCATTTGCCCTCGGGAACATGTTTGCAGGAGGGAGGGTATAGCTGCTCTGTTCTATCCATTGCTGGGCAGGTGAGTCTAGAGGTCTGTGGAGAGGTCTGGACCCTTGGCCTTTGGTAGAAAGAACTTCCCTTATTATTGGGAAAATTTATAATGAGGGATTTATGCTGGTTGGCTTTGCCATCTAGGTCTTCTTTGCCCTCTAGTTCAGACTCTATCATTTCCTGTACTCTCATCGCCCTTTTTTTTTTCTCCTGAGAACCAGATCCAGCATGCTCCCCCAGATCAGAATGCAGGTGGATAAGACTGGTATTTTATTGAAAGGATTTTCCCCCCATATGGTTTGAGGAGGAAAAAGATAATTCACAAAGCCCCAGTTCATTCAAGGAATTATACCAAATCCCTAAAGCATTGCCTTACACATTCTAAATCAAGTTCCTGGCTTTTAAAATGGGAACCTGTAATCTCAAGGAAAAAAAAAGTGTGATTTATCCCTCCAATCTTGCAGTGCATGCAATGTAGACATTTCACTCCTGGGAATGAATAGTCCTGTTTGCCTCGAAGCAGTCTGTAAATGTTTGAGTCGTGACCAGACAACTTGACTTTTAATGGCCTGCAACCAACTAAAATAAGCACACAAAGTTATGACCACCACTAGGAAGCCAGACATTCCTTGGTATCCCCAGTAACTTTCTGTATTTTTCTGGAATTGCTTTTTTAAATCTGATGACTTCAGAATAATCTTCTATTATAAAACAGTGGGACCGGTACAACAGAGAGTTGTTAAATTTTAGACACCCAAATGAGAATCTTGAGGAGCACTCAATATGCTCTACTTATTACAAAGCAAATATATGTCACTCTTGTGTCCATCTGCAGGTAGTAAGTGGTGGACCATTGGCGTAGCAAGGCACCATCTCAGTAGAATCCTAGGACGCTCCGCTCCAACTCATGGTCTTGTCATATGCCTGATGAATAGGGTGCACTTGATACATGCCATCCCTTCCTCCTGCCCTGATGATGTCAGAACTGGTGGGGTAGTGTTTACAACTCCAGCCACGGAGCAACATGGGAATTTTACCCAATGATGAAGGAAATGCAGATACATAAGAACTTAATAGTCTGAACAGAACTAAGGAGTCAGTACTGTACTCTGTTCTGGAAAGGCTGGAGAACCACTTGGAAGCTGACTTCAAACTATAACTGAGGCAGGTGTGAGCCAGGAGAAGTTGCCGGACTGAGGCAGGATATATCAATCAGCTACTGAGTCTCACTGGTTGCTGTACCCACCATGAGGGCAGCTGAGCTGCAGAGCCTTGATGGCATAGGGGACCTAGAAAATAGGGTCTAATTGGTGTCCTTCAGTGACTCTCTTCTAATTTTACAGGGGCTTTGGAAAAAATGGGAGATGGGCAGGGGACCATATGACACGGGCTTGAAGGGGTGGAATGTCAGCTAGCTCAGGGGAGAGGCCAGGATTTCTGTGGCCATCTAAAGAGAGTGATGGGTGAGTGTTAACCTGGCCTGCATGGTATTTGGACAAGCAGAGTCCGCCCCCAAATGAAAGTGTTCCCCATTGCTCTGGCAATTGGGTAGTTTTTAAGTACTAATTGATCTTTCTTTTTTAAAAAATTTTTTCCCCTTTTTTGAGAAGAGGGAAGAATGAATCTCCAGGGCCTCACTTGACTAGAAAAGCAGCCGCTTCTATCCTGCTCTCATGTATGAGAACACAGAAGCCTTCTCCTGAGATGACTCATGGTTTAGTGTCATGAATGAAGGAAAGGAACAATGCCTTTTCCTTGAGATAGGCCAGTGAAAAGGCCCCATTATAAAAATTGCAATAACCACTGGGTGTTTATGATGATTAGGCAATGTGGTATGTGCTTTTTTGACTTCAGCCTCACAACTCCCTTAAGAGGTTGAGGCCATTATTAATCTTTTATAAATAAAGAAATCAGAGTAATAAAATCTTTATAAATTGCTTAAGGTCAAGTAATAAGTAGGATGTGAGCCCCACACTGACTCTAGATGGACCACCTCTGAAACACCAGGAACCTCAAGGTTTGGTGGGGAGAAAGGTTCAGTGTTTGTCAAGGTCACAGTAGTCACCTTACCTTCCCAAGTGTGGCAGTGATCATGAAGTGTATGGGTCCCAATTGACTAATAGCTTTCAATTTGATTCTCTCACCAATTAATTTGTGGATTAAATGCATTTGTTTTGATTCACTATTAGACTCCAGTGGATGTCCAATGCTTTTAATGCTTAACTATCCTTAAAACTCTCATTAGTGTTTCTGTTGAACATATAAGAAAACAATGCTTCTCAAAGTATGGTCCCTGGACTGGCAGCACCATGCAGACTAGTTAGAAATGCAAATTCTCCAGCTCCACCTAAGGCCTGCTGAGTCAGAACTTCTGGGAATGGGACCCAGCATCTATGTGTTATAGCCCTGCAGATCACTGGATGCATGCTAACATTTAAGAATCACTGCTGGGTGCAGTGGTGCAAGCCTGTAATCCCAGCAGCTCAGGAAGCTGAGTTAGGAAGATCGTGGGTTCAAAGCCAGCCTCAGCAAATGTGAGATGCTAAGCAACTCAGTGAAACCCTGTCTCTAAATTAAAACACAATAGGACTGGGGATGTGGCTCAATGGTTAAGCACCCCTGAGTTCAATCCCTGGTACCAAAATAAATAAATAAATAAATAAAAGAATTACTGCACCAAAGCGATTATATTTTTCACAGGGAAAAACATTAAAACATGAACTTTAAATACTTCTCAAAAAATGTTTTTACCTCATTTCCAAGTCTTCATTTTCTTGTGGTACAAATTTGTACAAGGCAACGTAGGTGTTCATCTGTAATGGGTCTTTGGAAAGAGGTCCCTGAAAGAGAAAAGAAAGAAGAGCAAGAGAAGGAAGGAGGAAGAATTGGAGAGAGGAGAGAAAGAAAACAGGACATAGAGGCGTTATGACACAGTAATATCACTGTACGGATCTTAGGTGCTAAAACAGGGAGCCATTATTAATGACTTTCTCTCAGCCTTAGGTTTATTTTTAATTCTGTTTAACGGAGGAAGATTTTATAAAAAAGTTTGAAAACAATTATTTGGAACTCATTGTCAGAAATACTACACTTTTCCTTGATACAGTTGTATGATTGTCTTCTTTGATACAGTTGTTCATGAAAAATGTCCCAGGGTTGGTCCCAGGAATGGGAGGGAATATTCTCTCTAAAGAAAGAGGGACCTGTGAGCAGTAACTAACAACTCTCACTTGCTAAAACAGACATTCTATCAGTTAGTTGAGAGCTACTGTTTAGTGTATCAAAGGGAACCAGGTTTATTCATCTGGTAATTAGCTCATTGATTTTGAGGAAAAAGCATAGATTTTGGCATCAGTTTATATTAGGTACCACCCTCTACTGGTTATGAAATCTTGCAATAATCCTAATAAAAGTACCATTTTGATAGTTTACTATGTGCCAGGCATAATGGGATATGCATTAGCACAACTGACCTTCACAGAATTGTTAGGCAGTTAGCACAACTGACCTTCACAGAATTGTTAGGTAGATTTTCTTATAGTCTGCAATTTAGAGAGTATATGAGACTTCTATGTGTCACATACATATTAGCTATTATTACTAACCAAATTTTAATGCTATAGAGGCATTTATATTTTATAAAGACAAGTTAAAGTCATATATTGTGGTGTATAATTACATACTACATTTGAACATAAATAATAAATATGTACTGTATATTATATAATAACATGAAAATTTCACACAACTATATGTTCCCTTTTTACCTATGATTTGGTTTGCTATTTAAAGCTCAGTTTTCTTATATCACATTATCCTACTTTATTATAATTATATACATACATATGAATAAGCATATAAAATATAATAATTGTTTATATACTATGAAGTATAGTCATAGTTCTATAATTTACACATCATGTACTATATGTCAACATACATAACATATATGACAGAAACAAAAGATACAACACAACACTTATCCTGTTTCCCTCTTATTCACTGTGATATTTCTATTTAATCCATACTACTATCCTATGGCACATTATGCTACATTGTGCTATTTTATACTTTAAAAATGCTATCCTGGGACCCACTAAGTGGATTTCATGACCCACTTGGGTGGTGACCTGCAGTTTGATCTAAGTGCTCTTGTCTGATCTGTCTTCTGTGCCTTCCATAAATACCTGGTGGTTTATGTTCTTTGCTTGGTCTTTGAAATCGTCAGTGCCATTTTCTGGATACGTAAACACTGAAGGAGACAAGAGAAAGCAGGTGCTTTATGAATCCAGTCACCATATTTGGGAACCATGCCTGAAGGATATTGGTTTATTTATTCCATGCACCATAGCGTCTACTTCACTACTCACTGTCTTTTCCTCATCCTTAGTGATCCAGCTTTCATGTTTCATGTTCTCTTCTGTGAAACACCCCCTGACTCCCCACACAGCATTCTGCAGCACCTTCTCTGCACTCCCACAACCTGTGTGCACACCTGGCTAGCACGTTTCCTTGCATTGCTGGGCAACCAAGTTTTCAGAAAACTTGGAACTGTTTGGTAGTGTTCTTCTGAGGAGCAGAAACTGTGTCTTTGATCTTTGTTGGATATATCAAATCACTTGTTAATGGGATGGTGGGTGGGATAGCATCTGACTATTTGCATTTTTAACTACCTTTTCTAAATATCAGATTCTTTGTATTAAATATCTTTATTCTAGTCCCTTAATGACATCTATATTCTATTTTACAGATTAAAGCTTTAGTTTTAAACTTCAAATTATTTCCTTGATCTCTGACTTTCAACACATGGGACTATTATTTGGTTTTTCTTTACTGTAGTCTTGGAATGTATACTTCTCTTCCTTTACAATTGAATAGTTACTGTGTTTGATTTTGATAGAGAATATGCCTTCTCATAACAGAGAGGTGTTTCCACTGTCCATATACAGAGCTGTGGGAGATTCCTGATGGAGGCAGGGGGCTCTGCCTTAGTTAGTTTGATCCGCCAAATCTACCTCAGAGACCAGCAGTGTGGCCAGATGTGTCTTCCTTAAAAATATGGCAAATGTTTCCAAATGTATACAACAGAATTGCACAGTCTAAATGTACCACTTGGATGACTTGACGTTTAAAATAACACATCACTGCTTTATTCTTCTCTTTATTTCCCTTCAGATCATAAAGAAAATATCAGTAGAAAGAGCGAAGCACATGGTGGAAAGCTCTAAACCTATTTCATAAGTGCATTGACAATTTTTACTGTCCTTAAAATAGATTCAACAACAGTGAAGTGGAAAACACTCGTCAGAACAAGAGCCCCTGTAAAAGTCCTGAAGTTTATTAAATATCTATTCTACTCAGTTTATAGCTCCAGAGTTTATGGATGCAATTCCAGTGTGCCTAAGAAGCCCATATGCAGTCATACGCACTCTGGTTTGTTGTACCTGGAAGATCAGCTCAATTCCAGGGACTCTGTCAGCCTCAGTGCTAGACAGCTCAGCTTGGTGCTTAAAAAGTTTAAAAAAGAGCCGAGTCCAGCAATACCTTTTACTGGTATTCTGTGATTACCTGAAATCCGGCTGCAAGTACTTGATTCTATACATATAAAACTAGATTCTTCTAAAATAATATTAATTTTTTTTTTATAGAAACATGGAAAGAAAATCTTCCTAGAAAATTCTGGTCTGAGGCTTAAAAGGTGAAGTACATCATGTGTATACATGATGTTCAATGATTTTGCAATATTATAATTTCATATTTTTTACTTTTTAAATTAAATATCCACCTGGTCCTCTGGTTCAATTTGGACCATTTTTGTGAACTGTGCTGAAAATTGTTTGAAGTGACCTTAAATGTGTTTTCAGATACATGGCTGCAAGCAGAATGGGAAGGTTGCAAAATGATTTTCAAAATCTATTCCTCTGAGCCATTTCTAAGATTTTGATTTGAGGAGAGAAAAGTCTGGTAAACTGTTTAACTAAAATGAATCTCATATACCCTTTATTTTTGGTGCTTTAAATTCCTCTATGGAAAATGACTTGGTTATTCATTTCACCCATGACAAGTATTCAAAGAACATGTCCACCAGGCAGGTGGGTTTTCTAATATTACAGAAACAAAATGAATCTTAGCTTTGGCTTCATCCCCAAAGGACTTTTTTTCCTCTTCCATATTCTCTCTTCCTCTTTTGCTTTCTAGGCCTAGGAAGCCCCTGCCCACCACTGTTTTCTGCAATGATTATTTTGCTTTTCTTTTTAGACCTGGTAATGCAGCAAGTTATATTACTGAATTATCTGACATTGACCCACATTTTGGTCCTTTGAATAAATCAAACTTTGTTATTATGCAAAACCCTTTAAAAAAAAACATTACTGGATGAAGCTTACTAGGATTTTTGCTTTAGATCTCTGCATCTATATTCAGGAGGGAAACTGGCCAGTGATTTTCCTATCTCCGTCCTTGTTTGGTTTTGGAGTCAGTATTGTAAGAGCCTCATAAACCAAGTTAGAGAATGCTGCTGCCCTTTCTCCTTGCTGCTTTTTGGTCCTCTGAAGTAGCTTATGTAATGTGGAAATTGTCTATTCTTTAAGTGTTTGGGAGAATTTACTTATGAAATTATCTGGGCCTGGTGTTTTTATTGTACAAAAATTTAAATACTAATTCTGTTTCTATAAGGAGTAGAAACACATTTTCTATTTGAGTCAGGCTTCAGTCATTGATATCTTTCTTTTTTTAAGTTAATTTTTTATTTGTTTTAATTAGTTATACATGACAGTAGAATGCATTTATGCACTTGGATATGTCATTACATAAATGGGGTATAAATTTTTCATTTTTCTGATTGTACATGTTGTAGAATCACATTGGTCACGCAGTCATATATGTACATGAGGCTATAATGTCTGTTTCATTCTACTCTCCTTCCTATCCCCAGATCCCCTCCCCTCCCTTTACTCTCCTCTACCTAATCTAAAGTAAAGCTCTTCTTCCCTAGCCCCCACCTTTATTGTGAATTAGCATCCTCATCTCAGAGAAAACATTCAGCCTTTGGTTTTTTTGGGGATTGGCTTATTTCGCTTAGCATGATATTCTCCAAATCCATTCTTTTTGATGTCAGCCGGTTTAGAAAACGTTTTGAATTTTATTGGTATGATTCTGGTTATGACATTCTTTGATTTTCTTTTTCATCTGTGTTATGTTCCCCTTTTTACTATTGCTTTATGTTTCTGTTACCTAAAAATTGTTACAGATGGTAAGTTTTATTATTTAAAAAAACACTCAGGATTCATCGATCTTTGTTTGCAATTTAATAATTTCCTCTCTTTTTTCTGCCTTTTGAGGGGTTTATTCTATTTCATTTTTTAACTTCTTCAAGTATGATACTCAAATTATTATCCTTTAGACTTTCTTACTTTTTAATAAAATTGTTTAAAGCTAAGTACTTTAGTCACAACTTTAATGCTATCCCACAAATTACGATATATAGTGTTTGGGTCATTCCTTAATTTCAAATATATTCCAATTTTCATCATGAGTTCCTTTGGACACATGAACTTCTGAAAAGTGTGTTTTAATTTAGCAAAAATTATTGGTTTTCCTGGTTATCTCTTTGAGTATTGATTTTATCTTGTTTGTATTGTGGATAAAAAATGTGCTCTCTATAATATCTAGTGACTTGAAATTTGTGAGGCTTGTTTTGTGGCCTTGCAGGTAATATGTTTTTATTATTGTCCCATGTGTTCTTAAAAAGGATGTAAATCCTGCACTCTTTAGATGGAGTGTCCTTTTGAAGTTCATTAGATGAGGCTTGTCAAGTGTGTTGTCAAATCTCTCCATCCATACAGAATCATTTTGTCTATCTGGCTTGCCAATGAGTGAGAGGCATTAATATTCTCTGATAATAAGAACACCGATTTTCCTAATAATTCTCCTTGAGTTTCTATCATTTTGAGGCTGTGCATTAAGTAGAGAATATAGAAGTTGAAAATTTTTATATTGTGATGAAATGAACATGACCATGAAATAATGCTTTTTATCCTTAGTAACTGTTTCTTTGGTTTCAAAGTTCACCTTCCCCCATATATTAAATATCTACATGAGTTTTTTGTTTATTTGTTTAATATATGCCTGTGATTAACAATTTACCCTCACCAGTTTCTGTACAAAAAAGGTAATTTATTTTGCCTGTATTTTTCTTGTTTATTCCCCTGGGAACTTTAACAATTATTTTACTTTCCAACTTTCCACTTTTTAAAGTTTTAGATATTTATTGATAGTGTACAGGTCACTTAAAACTTTGGTCTGAAAAACTTATTGGGTTGATTTTGATCACTGGTAAACTTGAATTACTTCCTAAATATTTATTTTACATCTTCTATATGTCCTAAATTTTCTATGCTCTTTCTTCTATACACCTCCCCCCCCTCTTCCCACCCCTTCTTTTGAATTGATTGGCTTTCTTTTCTCCTCATTATTCAATTTTGTTAACTTTCTATTTTAATATACTTTTTATTATTTTAGTAGTTGTCTTGAAACTTTTATGACATGAATTCAAACAAAATCTAAAGTGAAATAGCTCAATCTCCTCCTGAATGAGAAGAGGATCTTTGAATACACATTTTCAATTTAAATATGAATTTTTTTTATATCCAAAATGTGCTTATTGGGATATTTTCACACTCATCTGGATTCAGACTGCTTTTAGTGCTGCTTCCTCCTGAAGGAACATCCTTCTGTAAGTCTTGCATTTCCTCCTTTAGGCTGGCAGTGGATAGTGAATATTTTTAATAATGTTTAGCAACTTTTAAAACAATATTTTTTTAAGGTAGCTACTGTTTGTCTAGAATTAACCACAGGTTTACCATTTTCTTTGCTCTTCATTTCTTCTTGCTACTGAGTGTTTGTATTGAGTTATTTATTTGTGATTCTGGGTAAAAGTCACTTTTCTTTCAGCATATTGAGGGTGTGTCACCCTACTGTTATTTAGCACCTAGTATGGTTTGTTAGGAGAACCTGCCAGTTTACTTTCATTCCTTTGTTTGTAATACATCTTTCAACCTGTATATAATGTTTTCTTTTGTCTGTTCTTAATGTTGTCTTTTGTCTTTGAATTTCTAAAGTTTCACTGAGATGTGGTTAGGCATAGATTTCTGGTTCATGGAAAGATGTTTAATAATTCTGGAAAATTTTCAGTATTTTCTTGAATACTTCCTTAATTCTATTCTCTTTCTATATACTTTTAATATGTCAATT